ATTTTTAACAAGTATAGTTTAACGTACTTGATTTATGAGTATTATTGGTCATGAAATGTTTACGATGAATAAAAACATATTTATAATACATTCTAACTAACTTTGTTTTAAATAAAATAAAATAATAATTAACAAACATGTTTTCGATTGTTAGTGTTTTTTAGAGTATTTTTAACAAAAAATTAATAAAAATATCTTTTTCAGCAAAATATAATTATTTTTATTAAAGTATCAAAAATATAAATAAACTATAGTTATTATTTTATTGTTTTAATTAACATTTTCATTTTAAAAAACAATTATAAACTAACAGAACTAAATAGATAACTAATTTCTTTTTTCCCTCAAGTTGTTTTTTCTTTCAGAGACTGTCTCTAGAGAAACATTAATTCTCCTTTCTTGATTCCCAAACAACTTATCTTTTTTATTATTTCTGTGGTTTGTTTGGTTATTAATGAATTCACAACTTACTTTTTCATTTTGGTGTTGATATAATTTCTCACATTTGCTGGTTCGACAGGCTGTTTCGCAGTTTGCGTTTTCTAGACAAACATAACAATCTCATCTTTTTGTTGTTTGTCGAGGAGTGATGGTCTTCCAGTTTCTTAAGTCACTTTATTTTCTCTTGCTTTTTTGAGTTGATGTCGAACACTCAAATTTCCTCCAAAATATTGAACAATGTTTTCTCCCCATCCTTTTCTCCACCCGACATCCCCAAGTTTTTCAACTGTGAGTTTGATTTGTTCAAAAAGTGAATTTTGAGTGTTGACATCTGCTTCGATATCTTTGAAAAATGATAATTAATCTTGATATAATATAAGTCGGGTGGAGAGTCGAGTGTAGTCACATTTAATTGGTGGGAGTTTTGGAACTTCCTAGCGTTTTCAACATATTTTTTGCTCATTCTTTGAATATCAAGTTTTTTAAAGAAACAAAAAAAATAATTATAGATTATTATACTGTTTTTATTATATATTTATTAATTGAAAAAACTATTAACATTGTTTGAATTTACTATATTCATTAAAAACGTTTTAACTTATATCAAATGCCTTGTTGTTCAATAAAACTCGAATATATTTATTGGAACAGTAATGTTGATATATTACTGTATTCTTTGTAATATTTTGATTGTTCTTGATGTGATATATGTGATCTTTAATCTTAAAGAATCAAGCTTATCAACACCATTTTATTATTGCCATTATTTTTTATTCGTATTATATTTTTAATTATTATAATTAAATATTTATAATATATTTTTTTATTTTTTTTTTCTAAATAAAATTGAAAAGAGTGATAGACCAAATTAATTTGTTGTTTCTCGACACCAACATTTTAAGGAATCAAACTTTGAAAGAGAGAACGTTTTCATTCTTATTTTTGTACACATGTGGGTTGAATTTTAAAACAATAAGATGATTATTTTTCTCAATATAAAGTCATTTTTACTCCCACACCTAATAACTTATCTTATATTAAACAGTTTCACGATAAAATAGTTATATAGATTTGTGCACACTACAATGTAAATAAAATTATAACACACATTTTTTATTTTACTGTTGTATTTCGTCGTTATGATTAACAAATTTTAATCAATGAAAAAATAATGGTCTAGATTAATTTTCTCTGTTATAAAAAACGTCCGTTAAGAATTGTAATTGACCTGTCACACAATGACTGGTTATCAAAAGATAAAAATATTTGTTGAATTTCATTTTCAAATGAAAACATTCCAAAATCGGTTAGTAGTTTATTCTTCTGTTTTATTGGTTGTTTTTTAAATCAAAGATTGTTTTGAGTATTGAATTTTTATTGCTTGTGTCATTAAGACACAAAAAAATTAAAATATCAAGGGTTATCAACAAAAATAATAACAAATAAATTAAGTGAATTATGTTATACATTTGGTTCCAAAATAAGTTTTATTAATTACTATGATGGGTTTATAGATTTTGACCACTTTATGGACCCACTATAGGTGTTGAGTTTTTGCGGATTTCCATTACCGTTTGACAATTGTATTTTCACATAGCGCATATAAATCAACAATTAATTAATGCAAATTACGCGCGACTAATGTTTGTTTGTTTTTCATGTTATTTATTATGTTTAAGTGCCTGATAAAAACAATTTATTAACAATTCAAAATAAGTTTAAAGTGGATATAAATTATTGATTAATCATTATTATTTATATTATTATAAAACTGAATAACAATCTATAGTTTAGATAATATATTAATACATACTTAAATATTTTAAAGTCTGTATTAAGAACTCAACTTTATTTATTTTGTTAAATCTTATCATTTATTAAATTATATTAAAATGAAACTAAGAATATGTTCAAAAACTTATTAATCATTTCATCAAGTATTTCAGGATAATATATATAAATTTATAATTTTACTTAATAATTTATATTTGTTATTTAATGTTAATTTCATAAAGTTTTTATATTGTTTTTTATAATAAAAACATTCTTAATTAACCAAAAAAATGAGACTGAACTTTTTTTATTCAACAGCTTTTCAAAAAAGAAAAAAGAAAATGGGTGCGGGTTTTTTTCCAGGTGTGGGTTTCTCGCCTCACTTTAGTTAAAAATAAGGTTTGTGTACTTTCAATTTGTCTTTGCCAATGAACACATCCTGCTCGACGACTTCAATTTTCATTCTTTTCGTGGCAGGGTGACAAGACCAATACCAGCTTCTTTTTTCTCGTGAAGTAAGAGATGAGCTTACACTTTTCTTCGAGAAAA